AGGTAATATGTAATGAATGGTTATGGCTGTTTTCCAGTACCACTTTATTTACAAAAACAGGAATTGCCAAACCTTGCTTAAGATGCAATATGGCAAATGTCAAATTTTAGTTGTTCTTTTTTGTGAAAATCTAGCAATTTGTGCTCATAGCTGGTTCATAAACATTTTTTTTTCCCTTATGCTTTAGTTATCCCACTAGCTGATTACTATATCATTGCTGGAGTGATCTATCAGGCACCAGACTTGGGATCAGTTATAAACTCCAGAGTGGTAAGTGTTCTTAACCCAAAAGAAAACTTTCAGTTTAGCYGCCCTGTTTCTAAGAATCAAGTAGGAGCTCTTTTGTGTAAGTGGTATAAAGTACTATTGGAATGTCTTGAACATTGTTTACTTTAGGCCAAATCAATACTAATACACACAGTTGGCCTTCTGTATTCACAGTTTCACATCCATGGATTTAACCACTGTACAATGAAAATACATTAAAAAAAAAAAAAAGAAATACACCTGTGCTGAACACATACAGATTATTTTCTTGTCATTATTTCCCTAATAATACATTATAATAACTATTTACATAACATTATAACATTTTGATAAGTATTCTAAAAATGAGTTAAAGTATATAGGAATGTGTATGTAGGTTATAATTCATTTTATATAAAGAATTTGAGTATATATGAATTTGGTATCTGAGAAATCCTGGAACCAATACACTATAGCTCCAGTTATATACTAATTTAATTAAGTTCTAAAAAGTACACAATTGCTATCTTTGCATATGTAACATTTTGTGACTGTTTACTTTTGGAAATTTGGTTGACCTAGTAAGAAATTTAGAATTTGTTTTCTTATTRTAAGCTTACTGCAGTGCATGGCATCCAGTCAGCTTTTGATGAAGCTATGTCATACTGTCGATATCATCCTTCTAAAGGATATTGGTGGCATTTCAAAGATCATGAAGAGCAAGGTACGTAGAACACCTAAGCCCTTCTAAAATGGTTTTTGAGCCTCTAAGGATGAAACTTTTTTTTTTTTTTTTTTTTTTTTTGTGGTACTAGGTTTGAACCCAGGGGTGTTCTACAACTGAGCTACATTCCTAGCCCTTTTTATTTTTATCTTGAGACAGGGTCTAAATTGCTGAAGCTGATTTTGAACTTGTGATTCTCTAGCCTCAACCTTCAGAGTCTCTGGRAATACAGAAGCTGTTTTCTTTAGGATGATGACTATTAACGTTTTTCAGGTGTGCTTTACTTTTTCATAGGGTAGTGACATTGTTACAGTTGTGATTCATATACTACATGTRGTAATAAAAAGTTTCATATAGAAACATAATTTATTCTGATAGATAGCTGATAATCTTTGTGAAGGTAATTCAAGGTTTTGAAATATTTGGAGCATAAAGAGGAGAAACAGTGATGAAGAAAAGCAAAGATGTTTCCTACTTACCTAACTATTGAGTCATCTTGGAATTTGGAACCCTTTATCTTCCACTCTTCAAAGTGGGGAATAGAGGTGTTGCCTTTAGATCTCCATTTYCAGACGACCAGGCTGTTTTCTGATGATTCTATGTTATCATCTGTCATAGTATCAGGTTCCCTAGTTYCCATGGTTGCTTACCTATTACTGTTCTTGTGTTAGTCAGCTTTGTGTTGCTGTGACCAAAATAACCAACAAGAACAACTTATAGGAGGAAAACTTTATTTTTAGCTCACAGTTTTAGAGATTTAGGCCATGGTCAGCAGACTTCATTACTCCAGACCCAAGGTGGGGCAGAATATTATGGCTGGAGGGCAGTAGCGGAGGAAAATTGTTTACCTCATGGCGGAGAAGCAAAGAGTGGGGAGGAGCTGCAAGGAAGATGAACCTTTCTGGAGTACTCCCTCAGTGACCCACCTCCTCAAGTCAAGTCCTATCAGCCTACCGTTAACACAAGGTTAGTCTACTCAAACTATGATGGACCAGTTAGGTTATAGCTTTCATAATCTAATCATTTTATCTCGGAATATTCTTGCATTAACCCAGGAGCTGTTGGGGACATCTCATATTCAAACTATAACACTTTTCCACCATATTTTACCAGGAAAACCTATTCCCAGAAATGTGTTTTTATATCTGGCTTTTCCTTCTCTGAGCATGACAACTCATAATACATTACTATGGGAAAGGTAGCCATTATATAGAATTCAGACCTTTGGAATGGTTTTTAGATATAGTTATTTTAATTCCAACATTTGATGTTGGAAAGTTTGTCTTAGTTGTCCCATGGGCTATTTTACCTTACCTTAAGAAAGTTTGGACTAATACTTATTTGGAATCCTTCATTAAGAGATAGTTCCCCAATATCCTTCCTGCTACCAGCGCAAATCTCATATGTGAATAACTTTACAATTTCTCTTTTAGGTTCTTTTTTTTTTTTCCTTGTTTTTGTGATCTGTTTTTGTTTTGTTCAGTGGATCACAGTCTTTATAATTGAGCATGGTAACTTAAGTTTGTGAAACATGCTTATTCCATTTGCTGCTAGAAGATTTTTTGGAAAAAGATCACACAATATGCTAACAATATACAAAAACAATTTCAGACCAATAATCTGGATTGTAATTTAGGTAATTAAAGYTTAAAACAGTCTACCCTTGTTTATATACTGAAACTGTGTATCTTTAAAAGATATGTATGTCAGCTTCTTAAGTTTTAGAATTGAACATCATTTGYTAGGCATGGTGATGAACTCCAGTAATCCTAGTTACTTGGAATACTGAGGCAGGAGGATTGCAAATTTAAGGTAAGCCTTGCCATCTTTGTAAGACCCTGTATCAAAATGGAAAATTAAAAGGACTGGTATTATGGTTTGGATGTCAGGTATCCCCCAAAAGCTTACATAAAAGACAGTGCAAGAAGGTTCCAAGGAGAAATGATTGGATTTGAGAGTTTTAACCCAATCAATTGATAGGGATTGAGTGGTAGGGTGAGGCTGGAGGAAGGGGGAATTGGGGTGTGGCTTTGGGATATACATTTGTATCCGGCAAGTGGAGAACTCTTTCTCTGCTTTCTGTTCATCATGTGAGTTGCTTCCCCCTGCCACTCTCTTCCACCATGATGTTCTGCATTATATCAAGCCCCCAGGAATGGAACCGGCCTTCTATGGACTAAGGCCTCTAACACTGTGAGCCCTCAAATAAACTGTTCCTCCTCTACAGTTTTGCTGGTCAGGTCCTTTAGTTACAGCAGCAATAAATAAGTACATACATACATACATACATACATACTGACTAAAACAACTGGGAATGCAGCTCAGAGAAGAACACACCTGGGTTCAATATCCTAAGTATTTTTGCCAAAAAAGAAGAAAAATTCATTATTATGTGCTGTGTTTAGCATATATGGGGAATTGTGTTGGTATAGCAGCCATTGAAAATAATGATGTTTGAGCCTTGTGTGGTGGTGGATGCCTATAATCCCAGTGACTCAGGAGGCTGAGGCAGGAGGATCACAAGTTTCAGGGCAATCTCAGCAATTTAGCAAGGGCCTAAGCAACCTATCGAGCCTCTGTCTCAGAATAAAAAATAAAAAGGGTTGGGGATGGGTGAAGCAGTCCTAGGTTTAATCTCTAATACCCCTCCCCCACCACAACAATGAAGTTCAAATATTTCTAAATGGGTCAAGATTTGTAAGATGACACAACAAACTGATTAGGCAATGTTTTGATTTGGATTTCATATTTTAATAGATAAAGTCAAGCCTAAAGCCAAAAGGAAAGAAGAACCAAGCTCTATTTTTCAGAGACAGCGTGTGGATGCTTTACTTGTAGATCTTAGACAGAAATTTCCACCCAAGTTTGTGCAGGTAATGACTATGTGTGGCTAATTTTAATTTGACTTTTTTTTTGGTGACATACATGTTTATTTTAAATTGACAACTGTTTCAAGTATGACCTAAAATGACTGGTTTTCCTGAGTAGTTAAAAAATTACCTCTGAATCAAAGGGAAGGTATCAGAAGACTAAATGGAAGAAATGAATAAAGGGGGTTGTGTTCCTTACTAAATCTTGCAAACTATGAGGCTGGCATGTAGATAATACTCTAATTCAGAAAGTGACAAAATTAGAATATAAAACTCATTCTTTTCACTCTACAAGCTGACTTTCTAGCCTGTTATAGTATTAAGCTCCTTAAATGATGGAATTCTTTTGTAACAAAAAATAATAGGTGGGGCATGGTGGTGTACACTTGTAATCCCAGCAGCTTGGGAGGCTGAGACAGGAGGATTTTGAGTTCAAAGCCATCCTCAGAAAAAGCAAAGTGTAGAGGATAAGAAAGGTAGCAGAATACAACAGTTACTAATAGGGCATTATGTAAAATTGTGGATGTGTAACCGACGTGATTCTGCAATCTGCATTTGGGGTAAAAATTGGGAGTTCATAAACCCACTTGAATCTAATGTATGAAATATGATATGTCAAGAGCTTTGTAATGTTGTGAACAACCAATTAAAAAAAAAAAAGAAAAAGAAAAGTGCAGGACTGGAGTTGTGGTTCAGTGGTATAGCGCTTTCCTAGYGTGTGTGAGGCCCTGGGTTCGATGCTCAGCACCATATAAAGATAAATAAATAAAGGTATTGTGTCCATCTACAACTGAAAACAAACAAACAAAAAAGTGTTAGGGCTAGGGTTGTGGCTCAGTGACAGAGTGCTTGCCTAGCATGTGTGAGGCCCTTGATTCGATTCTCAGCACCATATAGAAATAAATAAATTAAAGSTTCACCATGAACTAAAAAAATATTAAAAAAAAAAATAAAGCCAGGTGCTAAGCAACTCAGTGAGACCCTGTCTCTAACTGAAATACAAAATAGGGCTGGGGATGTGGCTCAGTGGTTGAGTGCCCCTGAGTTCAATCCTTGATATTCCCCCAAAACTAATAGAACGTTTGTGATAGAGGGTTTGGTCTAGTAAAGGGGTAAGTGGGAATACTAATTGAGTTACACCATATTGGTATTTAAGTTATATGAATTCCACAGTGTGGTATATATATTACTATTGTGGTTACAATAGTAAACCCATCTGCCGTCCCACTAAATGAACTTTTAAAATGAAGTGGTTAAGAGATGGATTATATGAATATGTCATTTTCATGGTTAGTCTTTGTTCTTATGGAACTTTATAGGATTGTGTATATCTACGATAGTGTGTACTGTTGTTCCTTGAAGCTATTTAAAGGATTTTCAAAGGTAGTTTTAAATTAAATGAAGTGTTTCATACTATGGGATGACTTTGGAGTAGATCTCCCCTTCCTCTTTTGCAGACCTTTTATAGTGAGAAACGTGTTATTGGAATGGTTATCTGGTAGTGAAGGGAGCAGAGGATGCAAATTGGAATATAGGACAAGAAAGCCTGTTTAGAAAAATCTGGTGTATTATATTTGAAAATGGAACAATGTTTGTTGAGTAAGTAAATGAATGAATTATAGCTGTATGCCAGGTGATGAGCAACCACTATTGGATTTAAGAGGTTAGTTGTGGTTGGCCATTTATTCAGTGAGTATTTGCCAAATAGACTGAGGGAGGAACACCTGGATGTTCAGTGTTCAGTACAGTAGCCACTGGGCACATGTATTGAGCACTGGAAACACAGCTAGTCCAGATTGAATTGTGATATAAAGGTAAAATGTACTAGATTTTAAAGAAAAACCAAAAAAAWTTTTTTAGATGTATTTCATCAAATGAAATATAATAATCTTGTTTCTTTTTAAAAATGTGACTAAGAAATTTAAAATTGGGCTGGGATTGTGACCCCATGGTAGAATGCTTGCCTAGCACGTGTGAGGCACTAGGCGATCCTCAGCACCACACAAATAATAAAATAAAGGTATTGTGCCCATCTACAACTAAAACAGTATATATTAAAAAGAAATTTAAAATTACAGATATAACTTGCATTTGTAACTCATTTCTTTTGATCTAATTAGTTATACATGACACTAGAATATATTTTGATACATCATACATAAATGTAGTATAACTTCTCATTCATCTGGTTTACAGATGTAAAGTTACACAGGTCATGTAATCATATGTGCACATAGGGTAATAATGTCCAATTTATTCTGTCAATCCTACCCTTGTGCCCCCTTCYCTCCCTTCACTCCTCTCTGTCTAGTCCAAAATACCTCTATTTCCCCTGCTCCCCCTTATTGTGAATTAACATCTATATAACAGAGAAACATTCAGCTTTTTTGGGTGGTTTTGCTTAGTATGATATTCTCCAGTTCTATCCATTTACTGGCAAATGCCATAATTTCATTCTTCTTTAAAGATGAATACTATTCTGTTGTGCATATATTCCACAATTTCTTTAACCATYCATCTGTTGAAAGGCACCTAGATTGGTTTCATAGTTTAGCTATTGTGAATTGAGCTGCTGTAAACACTGATGTTTCACTCATTTCTTTTGAGTAATACTGATCTAAAAAATAGTAATAGAAAAACAGAAAGGTGAAGAGTATTAGTAAACATGTGCTGAGAAATTGAAAAATGCTTTGAGGAAGAAAGGGAATAATAATGGAAGATGAGACATCAAAATGAAGGTCAAATTGAGAATGATTTTGTATGCCATGCAAAGAAATTTGGGTTTATTCCTGAAGAACAGGATTCACTATTTTAAACCTATAACTCATTACCACCTCCATAAACATAGCAGGCTTCCAGCTGCATTCAGAGGTACTTGAAGTATTAAAATAATAGCTATTATCATTGGAGATAAGTCAAATCAGTGTTAAATATTGTGTGTGTGTATACATATGCAAACACACATATATACGTGTGTATACACAAATACATATTGATAGTTCTGTACATCAAAGTCAAAGCCTTGTGTATACATGCACTCTAAGTCAGTTACATCCCAAGCCCTTTAATGTATACATTTTAAGTGCATACTCCAAAACACTAGTGTATTAGAATATTTCTCTTCCCTATCTTCAAGGTCACTTTTAGTGACCAGCTAATATTTCTATTACTTACGGCAATGGATACTTAATGGAATTTTTAAAAGTAGTTACAGGAGAGTAATATATAGTAGTCCCYGTATATATGATTTTGCTTTCTGCAGTTTCAGCTATTTCAACCATGGTCTGAAAATATTAAGTGGAAAATTATACAAATAAATAATTTGCAAGTTTTAAATTGCATCCTGTGCTGARTAGTGTGATRAAATCTTATGCCATTCTGCTGTGTCCCTCCTGGTAAATGATCATTCCTTTGTCCAGTAGATACACACTGTGTGTGCTACTTACCCATTAGTCACTTAGTAGCTGTCYTGGTTATCAGTTGTTTCATCACAGTGCTTGTGTTAATGTAACCCTTATTTTACTTAATGTCTCCAAAGCACAAGAATAGTTATGCTGATAGTTTGCATATGCTAAAGTAAGCTGTAAAGTGCTTACTTCAAGCGAAAAGATAAAAGTTCTCAACTTAAAGATAATTATATGCTGTGATTGCTAAGATGTATGGTAATAATGGATCTTCTATCTGTGATAATGTGAGGAAGGAAAAGAGAAATTTATGTTAGATATGCTGTCAAAACTCCAACTGTAATTAAAACAGCAGTGTTTAAGTGCTTAATTAAGATGCAAAAKCCATTAAATTTGTAAGTGGAACATTAGAACACTAAACACATTCTGATGAACATTGTGTTGCACAAGAAAGCACAGAGTCTATATGAAGACTTCAGCAAAGGATCTCCTGAAATTAGTGATACTTAGCCATTTACTASAAGTAAGGGATGTTTACACAGATTTAGGAATTTGGATTAAAGAATATAAAAATTATTGGAGAGGCTGTTTGCTAATGAAGAACTTGATTACAGCAGTATTTAACCTGATTTAAGGAGACATATCATGAGAAGGTCAATAGTATTCTAATACTATGTTAAATTGTTTATATCATTCACCTCACTTCATATAATATAGGCATCATCTCACATCAAAGAATTGTGAGTATGGTACAGTAAGATTTTTAGAAAGAAGCCACATTCATGTAACTTTTATTATAATATATTGTTTTAATTGTTCTATTTTATTATTACTTATTGTTGTTAATCTCTTATTAAGTTAAACTTTATCATAGGTATTTGTAGGGAAAACATAGTATATATAGGTTTGGTACTACTAYAGTTTCAGGCACCCACTGAGGTTCTTGGCAAGTATTTCCTCCAAGGATAAGAGGATGATCATCTTCACTTTGTATTATAGAAAGATAACTAATAACAATGTAGGGGATGCTTAGGAGGCTGAAGTTTGGAGTCAGGGAATTTAGGTTGAAGAAAGTCTAAATTTATTCTGTGGACATGGGATAGAGAAGAGACAGATTCAAGAGATATTTCAGTTAGGATAACTTAAATTTGGAGGGTGGGTTTGGTAAGATTGGCATTAAAGATGATGTTTGAGACCTAGAATTAGACTAGGTAWTGCTTGTTAACCAGAATTCAGAATATAGGAAAAACAGTAGATTTTTGTTGAAATATAGTTGTTAGGATTTTGTTTACATTGAATAACCTTCAGAATATTCAGCAACTTCTGTGTTTGGGTTCTGAGGTACTCTGATGAGTGAATACTCTATTTTTCTGGCTGAGAGTCCTGCCTTGAATCATTTATGCTGTTCTGTCCTGATGAGCTAGACATAGACTTAGCTCTTCAAACAAAAAAAGCATAATCTTATAGAACATGAAAATTTCAAAAATATACAAAAATAGAATAATGAAAAGCAAGGAACTGGGGATATTGCTCAGTGGTAGAGTGTTTGCCTAGCATGCATGAGGCCTTAGCTTCAATCCTGGTACCATAAAAAAAGGTGTGTGGGGGGGGATAGAAACTCCCATGTACCTATTGCCTTGCTTCAACATTTATCAAACATGGTTCATTTTTTTCCACTTCTTCCCAATTATTTTYAAGCAAACTCCAGTCCTCATATTAGTTCAGTAAGTTATTTACATTACATTTTTCTTTTAAAAGGTTTGACAGCATATACACTATGTTGTCATTTTCTTGAACCCCACATTTCTTTTAACTATGCAGGGGGTCAATGGCTAACTCCCCCCAAAAGAATATGTAACAAAAATAGGAAAATGATGRCTATCTCTAGAACTACCAAAAACTTTCTTGCTTAAACTTAGAGATGCAAATAATCCTAGGACCACTTTTAGCTCATTTGAACTCCTGTTTACCCACAGTGTTGCCTCAAATAACTCACTAGAAGGTCAGCATGAGCAAAGAAAAACAAGCAGAAGAAGCAGAAGAAAAAAAAGCTCCTTTATTTTATACAGCAGTCTTTTTATAGTATTGTGAACAAGAAGGCAGCCTTCCAACAGCAATAAATCAGGTCTTTAGGCTAGCTAAACATAGTATACAGAAGTAACTTTCTAATCAGAAGTAACTTGCTTAATGGCTTAATCTACTCTTTGGCCAGAGCATTCTGAGCTCTGCTCTTTGTTAAGAATAGATAAAAATTTTCTTAGCACCCTCCTAGCTCACTTGACAGAACATCCCGTTTTCCGGAAAGCCCTGCCAAGGACAGCAAACATCTCCTTCAAGCATTTTTGCTGTTACCTTATCTAAACCTGATGGAACATCCCTTTTGCGGGCAGGCTCCATCAAAGACAGSAAACATCTTGTGTGCAAGTATGCTTGCCATTACCTTATCTAGACCTTGACAGAACATCCCGTTTGCAGGCAGGCTCCATCAAGGACAGTAAGCATTAGGTTTTCAAGCTCGCAGTCACATCTGATTCTCTACACAGTGTCTTTTCTAAAATACTTGTAGCTCAGAATTTAACTTCTCCTTATCCATTGTTTTTAACAGCTGGGTTTCTGGTACCTAGGGATATTGATTTATCAGGGGGTGAACAGGAGAATATTGAAGTCTGGACTGCTGCTTTGATGTTTCCTTTTTCTGAATTTGAATTATTGTTATTGCTGGAGTTAGAATAGTACTGAATATGTTTTCAGTAATTTTTTTGAGAGTCTGCTAGAATACAATAGGATCTTACTTCATTGAGGTTTATCCCAAGTCCTCATTACATTTGATCAGAAAGGCACTCCCRTCTTTTTTGCTCACCTCAACATATTCTTCTAGTTTGTCCAGCAGTATTCACTAGAAAACATTAGTCAGTGTAAGTTGGGTGAGTAATGATGTTATTTCAWTGTCTTGTAGTGTTCAGATGCTTCRGAGTAGCTATATGAAAATTTTCCCATCTCAATTTTTTTCACTCCTTTCAGTGTTACTCTATACATTTCCTTCTATACATTTAAAGTGATAAAAATTATTTTTCCCCAAAGTACTTGAGACATGTTTAAGTCTTCATATATTCACAAGATAGGTGATATGTGGCCGTGTGTGGGATTCCTCTGYTCACTCCCTTATTTTGGAGATTTGCTAGAATGACTCATAGGACTTGTCATATAGTTGTATTCAATGGCTGATATTTATTACTGTGATATGGTAAGGATATACAGCCAGATCACAAAGGAAAAAGACATAGGTAGAGTGTATAGGATTCCATGTATAGGCTTCCTTGTACTTTTTCCTTCCCACGAGAGGTTATGCAAAATGTACTCCTTTTTCAACAATAAAGATGCAGCAAAATGTATATTTTTGCCCTGGGAAATCCATTAGAGACTCAGCACCCGAGGTTTTGTTGTTGTTGTTGTTGTTGTTGTTGTTGTTGTTTTGTGGTAGGGAAGGAGATGGGTTCAGCATGGACATTCCCTTTGTAACGCACATACCAAAATTCCACAGTTTCTGAAGGAAAGTAGATATTCAGCATAAATTACATTATACAAATAGTCTAGGCACAGCCAGCTACTGTTAACAGGTAGAGGATGGTGGGAACTCTCCCAAAATTAAAGTTCCTAGATATACTAGCCAAGGGCCAACCTTGCAAATCAGGGTTTTCTCAGGATGGCAGTTTCAGGCTTTCCATAGTAACCCTTTTCTGCACAGTGAGTAAAAATATAGAGCTCAGCTTTTGGTCTTGTCGAGTGTAGATGTTCACAGTATTTTCCATTGGAGTGGGCATTTTGGCAGTTGACATCATGAATCTAGAGCATGTGACACCAGAATATGAGTCATGGGAATAGGTAGGAGGATATCTAAATTCAGAAAGAAATCTGGAAAACAGATAAATGTATTAACTTTAGAAATGAAGAAATTATTTTTTTCTTTTGAGATACTTTAAATGTGTATGTGCATGTGCATGTGTGAATGAAAGCTGTAAGTTTGCAAGGAGATTGGAAGTAGTGTTGGCACTTTATTGTTTTGACATTTTGCTTTTAAACATAGGATGTAAGTGTCACTGGCTTTGAGGGAGTAGTAACCTGTAAGCCTTGAAGAGGAAGAAGGTATTTTAGAGCATTTAATTTGTGTGATTGGACAATGGAGCCTAATCAAGTTAAAGAATTTCTTGTAAAAGCGGGAGTTCATAATCCACTTGAATCAAACCGTGTAATATGATGTATTAAGAACTATGTAATGTTATGAACGACCAATAAAAAAAAAAAAATAAAAAAATAAAAAAAATAAAAGAATTTCTTGTTCCTGACCTCTGATGTCCCCATCACTTTTCCCTGCACTTCAATTGTTTTTGTTTTTGTTTTGGTACTGGGGATCGAGCCCAGGGGTGCTTAATTTGTAAGCCACATCCCCAACCCTTTTATATATTTTATTTAGAGACAGGGTCTTGCTGAGTTGCTTAGGCCCTTGCTATGCACTTTGATTTTTTAATGGAACATTTGCTGTATGCCTTACGCTCATAGGAAAATACCTCTTTTCTCTCCTTAGTTCCCATGCTTGCATCCAAACTTTATTCTTCTTATAGTTTATGTCCTCCAAGCAAATAAGCCTCTGGAGTCTTGAAGTCTCCATTATTTTTCTCATTGGATTCTACTTAACTACTATTGTAAAGCATTGTAACCTGCAAGTGGAAGCAGAGGGCTTTGTTAGATGTTCAAGGGTTTTTATGGTTGTTTTATTCTGTTTTAGTTTTATATTTGTCTTTTCTGGAATGGGGTATTCTCAAGAAGTAGAAAATGACAGATTTATTTTTTATGGAACATGAACAGCAATATTTCTTCGTGAAATCATTTATAATGCAAATTTGGATGGAGGTGTCATTTTAATAAGATTTGTAAAATCAAGAAGAAAACCTTGCTAACCTTACTATTCTGTTTCTTATTTCTTTTCTCCCCCTCCCTGTTTTTTAAATTATAGCAAAAGTCTGGAGAAAAGCCYGTTCCAGGTATGGGTCATCTGATACTCTTTACTAAACTTGAAATAGACCAAACAACGTGTTTAATGCATGTGAAATGTGCCATGGTTATTTTTTCTTAGACTCTCCCATTGTAGTTYTTCACTCCTAACCTTTAAGATCTGCTGAATTGCCAGTAGATATTGTATCTGTGATAGTAATACTAGTATTTAAAAGATGAATTAAGTGGAAGGAGTCGATATTGAGGAGGTATGAAGAAGTTGAGGTTATTTGAGKTGGTTTTTTCACTGAAAACAGGAATTAAACTATCAGTGGAACTGATGGAATAATTATATCTCATACATACATGATGTCTGATTTAAATGCCATGTATTCTTCTCTAGTTTTGTATATTTCCTTGAGTTAATAATAGGTTATTAGGTTTATAACCGGAGCTTATTCAGTACAGCTGCCTGAGGAAACAGGTAAATGTGGAAATTGAGATATGCAGTTAAAAGTGAATTTGAGGACYKGGGTTGTGGSTCAGGGGTAGAGTGCTTGTCTGGCATGTGGAAGGTACTGGGTTCAATTCTCAGCACCACATCAAAATAAATGAAAAATAAACATTGTGTTAATCTACAACTAAAGAAAATATTTTTTAATAAAGTGAATTTGAAAGAGTGYTCATATTAACCATTGTCTAAATTTATCTCATTCTTTCATCTTCATTCCTCTAAAAAAAAAAAAAACTCTGCATTTGATGTCCAGTGGATCAAACAAAGAAAGAGGCAGAACCTATACCAGAAACT